ACCTGTGACTGCTGATGTCCTTTTGAAGCAATGCATAAGATGAGCCATTTTGAACTCCACAGCAGTCCTGTGCAGACACCATGAGCCTAGTTTCAAAGCAGTTTGCATCATCTCATGTCAGTCTTTTTCCGCATGTAAAGGAGTAGTTTATTCTGTAGCCAGAAAGGTCACATTGAGTTTTCATGGATGTTTCCTATTGCTTTATACCAGTTTATGTTGCCACAGGCCAGGCGTGTAAATGTGCATTCCCCCCACTTGGTGCCCCTTGGGGTGTCGGCCTCCCTTTACCTTCTGCTCTGGGAGGGAAAAATGTGTCTGACTGTTAGCTAGTCCTAGGCTCTTTTAAATGAAAGTGGTTAAGCACATTTCTCTCCTGAATTTCCAGCATTGTCCTTTACCTTATTTAACAAGGTTTGTTTTCTGTAAATCTTAACAGCATTAGGTAACTTTTCTGTGAGACCTCCATGGTTTGCTCATACTCCCAGTGTGTGGTTGCTGTGGAGGAGCACCTGGTCTTTTAATGTGTTGACCCTGTATCCAGCATTCCTACCAGTCTTGAAAACAATTATGTGTTCTCTGTGGCTTTCTGTTGTAGTTTCTTTGGGGTGTCCTAAGGGTACTCCAAAGGAACTCCCAAGGGGATTAGGGCTGGGCCAGCTGTAGGGAAGATGGCGCATACAGCCCCTGCTCTGAGTGTATCCAGTTAAGGACAGAGTGTGACACAGGTAACACAGGAGAGGCCTCCTCAGGATCTGCCCCCTAGTGGATGCTCAGGTTCAGAGGCAAGTCCATGTGGTGCCACAGTGTACATTTTTCTTCCCTTTTTTTTCACTTTTTTTTTTTTTAGAAAAAAACAAACTATCTTATCTTTTTTCATTTTACATATCAATCCAAGTTCCCACTTCATCCCCTCCTCCCATTTCCTGCACCTATACCCCTCAGAGAGGGTAAGGCAGGCACATTGCTTTGGGGAAGGTTCAAGGCCCTCCCTACTATATCCAGGCTGAGCAAAGTATCCATCCAGAGAGAACAGGTTTTTGAAAAGCCAGTATAAGCAGTAGGGATAAATCCTGGTGCCACTGCCAGTGGCCCCGCAGTCTGCCCCAGCCATGCAACTGTCACCCACATTCAGAGGGACTAGTTTGGTTCTATGCTGGTTCCTTCCCTGTCCGGCCAGAGTTGGTGAACTCCCATTAGCTCAGGTAAACTGTTTCAGTGGGTGAACCCATCGTAGTCTTGACCTCTTTGCTCATATTCTCACCCCTCACACTCTTCAACTGGACTTTGGGAGCTCAGTCCAGTGCTCCAATTCAGGTCTCTGCCTCTGTTTCTATCAGTTGCTGGATGAAGGTTCTATGGTGGTATTTAAGATATTCATCTGTCTGACTACAGGGCAAGACCAGTTCGGGCACCCTCTACTCTATTGCTTAGGGTCTTAGCTGGGGTCATCCTTGTGCATTCCAGGGAATTTCTCTAGAGCCAGGTTTCTTGCTAGCCCCATAAGGCTCCTTCAGTCAAAATATCTCTTTCCTTGCTCTCATCTCTGTCCTTTTGAAGCAATCCATCTCGACTACCCTGTTCCCTCAAGTTCTCCTCCCCCCTTCCCTTCTCCCCTTGTCTTCCCCTTCCGCCCTCCCTACTCCCCCTACCTCCATGCTCCCAATTTTGTCAGGTGATCTTGTCTGTTTCCCCTTTCCAGGTGGATCTGTTTGTTTTTCTTAGGGTTCACCTTGTTACTTAGCGTCTCAAGGATGACGAACTATAGGCTCAATATCCTTTGCTTTATAGCTGGTATTCACTTATGAGTGAATACATACAATGTTCATCTCTCTGGGTCTGGGTCTCCTCACTCAGGGTGGTTTTTTCTATTTCCATCCATTTGCATGTGAATTTCAAGATGTCATTTTTTACTGCTGAGTACTCTGATGTATAAATGTGCCAACATTTTCTTTATCCATTCTTTGGTTGAGGGGCATCTAGGTAGTTTCCAGGTTCTGGATGTTACCAATAATGCTGCTATGAACATAGTTGAACAAATGTTGTTGTAGTATGATTGAGCATCTTTTGGGTATATGCCCAAGAGTGGTATTGCTAGGTCTGCTAGGTCCTGAGGTAGGTTGATTTCTGAGATTCCACCATACTGATTTCCAAAGTGGTTGTACAGGTTTGCATTCCCACAGCGATGGATGAGTGTTCCCCTTACTCCACAACCTCTCCGGCATAAGCTATCATTGGTGTTTTTGATCTTAACCATTCTGACTGGTATACGATGGTATCTCAGATTCGTTTTGATTTGCATTTCCCTGATTACTAAGGATGTTGGACATTTCCTTAAATGTCTTTCAACCATTTGAGATTCTTATGTTGAGAATTATCTGTTTAGTTCTGTACCCCATTTTTTAATTGGGTTATTTGGAATTTTGATGTCTAATTTCTTGAGTTCTTTATATATTTTGGAGTTCAGCCCTCTGTCTGATGTGGGGTTGGTGAAGATCTTTTCCCATTCAGTATGGTCGAAGGGCTCACTGACCAGGAGTTTTCCGATGCCCACTGCACATCGGAATCACCGGAGACTTGGGAATGCAGGCTACACTGCGCATATGGGGTGCAGTGGCTTCCTGAACGGCCTGGACTGAACAGCATCGCTGGCCCAGCGTGTACATGGTGAGTGCAGTGGAGATGCACTGGGCTTTCTCCTCCCTTGGCCCTGCAGTGGACTCTGCTCAGCACAACTGGAAAACCATCCCTGAGAGCCCAACAGCCTGAGGCTGCTGAGGGCAGAGAGTCCCCTGTATGTTTGTGTGACCTTTTAGGAGCCACGATGGGAAGTAGCCAGACCACAGTGTAGATCATGCTGAGCTGGCTTGGGCCAGGTGAAGCTAAGGGAAAGTGGTGGGAGTTAGGTGCTGGGCACCAGTGGTGCTCGAGTTGTCTGGTCAAGTGGTGAGTTGTTTGTGGTCCCTACCGGGAAGGACTCAGTGGCAACCATGGTTGTCCCAAAGAGCATGTGGAATGAGCTGCTGCCAACAGCCAGGACCCAGAGGCTGCAGGCCTGGCTATTAAAAGTGCCAACCCCTTGCTTTTAACTAGCATTTGACTAGTTACTGTTTGAGGTAGAGCCTTGTCTGAGGCCTTCTGCAACCGCCCTGCTGGCCAGAGACTACCCAAGGAAGCTGCTTCAGACTCTTCTGCTGTCTTTGAGCCACCCTCTGACAGGGAGAGACTACAGTTGTTCCATACAGTCACGCCAGCTCCTTCTTCATCTGGCACTGCCTCCCTGTGTGGTTGGTTCCCAGCCACTGACACTGTGACCTGCCCCACGGGACAGTGGGGAGCTGTGGAATGCCGTGAAGCTGACTAGAATTCATCTGTGAGCCTATTTCCCCCCGGTACAAATTGAGAACCAACCGTTGCTTTCTGTTTTCTCTGGCAAGCAGGTTGCTTACCCATCACCCCGCGGGTCCACCGACACTGCAGTACCTGTCAGAGATGATGATAAATATCTAGGCCAAAGGTTTTTTAAAAGAAATCTTTGAAGCGGAATGGGATGATCAATCAAGATGACAAGGTATTTTCAAGGAATAAAGAAAGCTGTGATATAGTTACCCCAGAAGTCAGTCTGCTTGTTTGCTCTGCCTGTCCCAAGTCCCCCCACCTCCACCCCCTGCTACACCTAGAGAAGACCTCCCACCTAAAAAGGCTTAGGTCAGAGTTCACATCTCTTTCCACTCTTCCCACCCTCTTGCACACCCCATGAATTACTATCCCCATCCATTTCTGTCCGCCAGAGTTCTCTAGGCCACTTGCCAGACCGCCTTCCTCCTGCCCCCTGACTGAGCAGCTGTGTGTCCCTCTGGAAGAGTGAGTTCTGCCAGGGCATCTTGGCGAGCACCAAGGTTGTATGAGGTGTGAGAGTCTGGTTGGGCCTGGCAGGGTAGGACAAGGGCGACCAGGGCACCTTCCTGGTTTTCCGGCCCAAGCAGGTTTGTCGCAGCCAAGCCTTCATTTGGCAGCTTTGCTATCCTTCATGGGGGGAGACCAAGCCCTGGAATGAGTCACTCTCCAAACATCCCTGTGCGTGTGTGGGTGTGGTGTCTGGTTACCTCAGAGGAGTTCGTGAAGAGGAAAACATTTCCAGAAGGATGTCAGCATCATCTGGTTCTTTCCATGGCTCAGAGCCCTTTCCCGGTGTGTCTGCCACACACTCTGCCCAGAAGCAGTGAGGACAAACACCTCAGCTGTCCTCAGCTCAGAGCGCTGGCTCCAGAGAGCTTCTTGTGGTCTTTGCACCCTGAGATGAATGAGAGACCACAGCCCAAAAAGGCCCAGCCTCGTCAGCAGGCATGCTCCATGAGGAAGACAGAGAACCGAGGCAGGCACCGTGGTAAACACCGAGGAGCCCCTTTCAACAACCCCCTCCTCCTCCTCCATAGACCATCGGACATTCACCCAGACACACGGATAGGCAGGCAGTATCAATGAGAAAGCCACAGACCCGAACTGGCTTCTGTGATGCCGGCTCACTCAGGAGAGGTGAGAGGGCGGGTCAGGGGGGGCATCGAGGGTGGTAATTTCCTCTAGCAGATGGTGAGGGGGCCGCTGCGGGCTGCCTCCAGACACAACAGTCACTTCTCGTCCCCAGCAGTGTCCTCATCCCGTGTCCCCTCAGTATGCCGATGTCCTGTGTTCATCCTTGCCTATCCTAGCTGCTGCCGCCGCTGCCTCTCTGAGGTCTTGCTGTGTCCCACTTCCCTGCCACAGATGCCTGATCTCATTCTGCAGCCCTCCTGAGCCGCTCTCCAGCCTCACCCACCTGCATCTTCCTGGCTGTCAGCCCGGGAGCTTCAGACACCTGGCTCCAGGCCTCTCCTCTGCCCTCTCTGGAGACTGCCTGCTGAGGGCTTGTCTGTAAGTGGCTGAGCTCTCTTCTCCAGACTCCCCATACTCTGGCTTCTAAATTGAGGCCCTGGACACACGGGTAAGAGAAAAGGACCCCAGCAAAGGAAGAATGCGCCCCTTTATTCCTTCTGGGAGAAACACACTGGGTGTAGCCAGCACCCATCCCCAGGGCAGCCAAGTTTGGTTCTGCCCCCACGAGGCCTGGGCAGTGGTGAGAACAGTCCTGACCTCCCCGTAGGGCAGAGGTGTGTGGACACTAGTCTGTCTTTGTCCTCAGAGCTTCTCTAGGTAGGACCCAGGGACAAAGCCTCGCTGTCCATTCCGCTCCACAGTCCACCAGCCGTCCTCTCCTTCCAAGATGACCACCAGAATGTCTCCCGCAGAAATGTCCAGCTCATCGGGATTCTAGACAAGAAACGGTAAGAGCGTGAGATGGGAGGGCCTCCTGTGTGGGCCCTGGTCTGGCACCCCTGCCTTGGCAGTCCATGCACGTTCGTGTCCTAGGGTGAAGTCTGCTGAGTCATGCTCAGGCCTCCAGGGTAGTTCCTTTGGAGATAGACAGACTGTAGGGTTCTCCAAGAGACTTGGCCTCCTAACTTGTGCCGGTTGTCATGGAGACCTCCTAGCCCGGGCTGCTCCAACCACTGCAGCATCTCAAGGGCATCCATTATGCCCCAAGGGCAAGCTCTCCTGTCACCTGAGTACCCCATTACTCTATAGGCCTGTATCCCTGAGTGTGACCTCCATCAGTGCTGCCCACACCCAGTCTGCCTGCATGTGTGGGTTTATTAGCTGAAGTTCAGGGCCTGCCTTCCAGGTCTACACCCCTCACTCCATCCCAGGGCTCACACTGGAACCCATCTCAGCACCGCTCTTCTGCGGCTGCCCTGACCACCTGTCTTCAAGGATGTCAGAAAATCAGTTCCAGGGTAGCTCAAGGCCTCGTTTTAGTCACTGTTGTTCCTTGGGTCCACAGTTAGGAAAAAGGCCTGACCCTCCACCTGTTATCATTCACGATAATGCTGAGCTGTCAGCCGATTTGAGCAGCTGTCAGCCCAGCAGACGGTCACTGAACCCTTCTGATTTCTGGTGCTGGTCTAAGTGCTCACACCCCAGGTATGTTGCCAGGCACGGTGCCCTCGAGCTGGAGGACGCTGGGGGACGCAGGCCTCACCTGTGCCGTATAGTCGTAGAGTGCCCGGTAGTCCTGAGCTGACGCGTCAAGGTTCCCCTGCGTTGCCTGCACATCGATGGCTGCATAGACCAACTCGTTCCGCTCAGGAGTGGAGGTCAGAGTCTCTGTGGAAGCTGAGAGTAGGAAGAGGCTTGAATTAGCCCTCTGAGGACAGTGGTCCCGGGAGACTGCTGGGGTGGGGCTTTGTCCCACCTTCACCCCCACTCTTGGACAGTATACCCTTTCCCTTTGGGGCATTAGTGCACCGTCTATGCCATGTAGGAATCCTTAGATGAAAGGTATGTTCCCTGTCCCACTCCCCTCCCCCTCATTTACCAGCAGGTGGCTGAGACGATGTGGTCTTAGGACTTCCGTGCAGTAGCCCAGAGAACCTGGAGGAAGGGGGAAAGAGGGAATGGCCTTGTGTTGTCTCATGGGAAACAACGGGACTAATGGGAAATCTCAGCATCCCAGGACCTCTGCCAGCCTGTGGTCACCCACGTCTCCATGGCAGCAGGCCTCCCCACAGGCCATTTCTGGCAGTCCATTCTCAGCACCCTCCTCCCGGACACTTCCGGTCATCTCAGCACCTGCAGTCCCACTAGGACCCCACGTCCCATGTAGAGGAAGAAGCTGCCTTTAAAGCTCTGCTCCCACACATCTTACTAGGCCCAGCCAGGTTGGGACAAGTAAGTCTTTCTTTCCTTGGTCCCATGGTGACTAGACCGGGTCACCCACAGGGCACAGAATTAGGTCCTTGGCACCTGACGACAGCCAGGCCAAGGAGGTGGCCCTGTAAAAGCCTGTGAATTCTCCCAATGTCTAGGGCTTTGGGCCATTTTTAAACCACCTGGAGGTGCTACCACAGCTGCCTGATCGTTAGGACACTACCTCATGCTATGCTACCTCATGGGAGGGCCAAGGGACAGGAGCCCAGCGAGGCGCTGGCCCAGGTCCCAGCATAGTCACCAGGTGAGCGGTCACAATGTGAGTAGTTAATACTAGGATCCTCTGGGACAGCTCCAAGGACAGTTTGATCATAGATGGTCTCGAGGGAATACCCAGCACCTGGACAGGGCACCAGACCTCCGGGAGCTGCTCAGTCAGGAGGTATGGAAGATCCAAGGGCAGGTGAGGCTGGCCCCAGCGTCTGGGCTCTGACTGCTCAGCCCGTCAGGGTCTCACCTCTTTATCATACCGCAGGATGGCTGGACACTAGGGCTGCCGATTAGCGGGGTGACTTCCCGGTCATAGTAGTTCTGATAAGGCACTGGAGCTAGAGAGAGCAAATGTATAAGGCCTGGAGCAGCGCGGCAGGCTAGACTTTCCCGTTATGGCCCTAGACCAGAATTTCTTGTTTTTGTTTTGTTGAGACAGGGTCTCTCTCTATGTAACCCTGGCTGTCCTGGGACTTTATGAAACCAGGTTGACCTCAAATTCAGAGACCCACCTGGCTCTGCCTCCCAAGTGCTGGGATTAAAGGCAAATACTATCATGCCGGGCTTTTTTTTTTTTTTAAGACTTTTTTTGTTCATTTTAATTATGTGTAGATGTGTATTTGTCCACATGGAAGCCAGAGGTATGGATTCCCTGGAGTTGCAGACAGTTGTGAGCTGCCTGACGTGGGTGCTGGGAACTGAGTGGACCTCTGGAAGAGCAGCAGAGCAGCAAATGTTCTTAACCCCTGGGCCATCTCTCCGGCCCAGAATGGATATTCCGGATTCACGACTTTCTGCAACTGGATGGGCCAGGGGATTTGTGTCGACCACTCTACTGTGGCCTACTTAAAATTTCCCATCCCCCTTCTCTTGCTCCCCATCCAGAGAACCCTTTTGCACTCCGCTCTGTTCCTTTTAAACCTCAGGGGAAACAAGCCAAGAGCCTGGCCCCAGAATATACTGTCCCCCAGCCTATGTGTGGCCTACCTCCATCCAGTAGGGAAGCCACCCCAGCCTGGGCTTGACATCCAAGGCTCTAAAAAGTCTGGGCCCAGTCTAGAGCCAGCCAGGCCTGGCTGCAGAAGCTGAGCCACCCTCAGGCTGGGCTTACCTGGGGGCTCTCTGCCAGTGCTCTTGGCCTGGATGAAGCCGTTGATGTCACTGTCCACATCGCAGCCTTCCAGTGTCAGCCGCACTTCCTCATAGAGCTGGGGGGAGGGAAATGAACAAAGGCTGTGCCCACACTTCACCCCAGTATCTGCCCTTGCTGTAGTCATCTTGATAGCCTTGCCATTGTCCTGCCTCTGAGTCTGAACCTTCAAACTCAGTGCTGACCAGAGAACCTTGGGATGTCAGGCCTGCCAAAGGGACTAGAGACTTGGCTGATATTCAGAAGTTTCCTGAACACCTGAGCTCAGAGCCCTGACCAGAGGCCCAGCTCACTCCTGTCCTCTGAGACCCACTCTAAGGCCCACGGTTTAACCTGTTTTAAGATGAGGTAATTAAAAAAAAAGGGAAGTGGTATGCCAAGGTCACTCAGAAGCTGGACTCTGAGTCCAAGGGTATCTAGAGCCCACATCTAGATGTGGATGCCATCAAGGATCAGCTGCCCATGGGCAGGAGGTGTCTGAGCTGCCCGGGTCCCTGGTGTAGGTGGTAGCCCCCAACCTGAAGGAGAATGTACCCCAGCCAGCCCAGAGTACTGGGCTCTGTAAGGTGACAGAGACCCTGAGAGAGAGATGGGAAGGAGTGTAATAGACCCTAGACCAGGTTCCCACCAGCGTGAGCCTGGAGCAGAGCCTCTCCAGGCCTCAGCAAGTCTCTACTGTGTCGGAGAGAGTGGATGGACACAGCCCTGAAGGGTCAGGTGCCCCGAGTATAGAAGCAGGGAGGAGAAGGCAGATGCAGGGAACCACAGGAACATAAAGTTCCCAAGGCTTGGAGACTGGGCCAGAGACCTTGTCTGACTCCTATGTGAGCCGCAGAGGTCTGGGAAGATGCTGCTGGCCCCTGAAGACCTGAGCTCACCAGGCTCTCCCTCCTCCCAGCACACACCTCGTCATCCTTGACACACTGCATGGAGAGCTGGTTGCAGTGCACCCATAAGGCATTGCGGAGGATGGTCAGTCGGTCAAACTCCTGCAGCTGGAAGGCCTGTGGGGGAGGAAAGAGGGTTGTGGGGCCAGGTCAGGCAGCCCCACCACAGCTCAGCCAGGTGACCAGCACAGACCAGGCTGCTACAGACAAGTCTAACCAAGACAGCCTTGTAGGTCCCCACCCCTGCTTCTAGCTTGGGCAGCTGGAGGGAGGTTGGGCTGTTGGAATGCCTGTTTGCTCTATCAAGTCCCCTGTCCTAGGAGGGAGGCCGGGGGAGAGACACAGGACTCTGTCCTGGTTCTGTCCATCAATAGTATGCAGGGTGGGCTTTGAGCTCAGTTTGGGCTTTATGAAGAATATATCCCTACAGCAAAGGTATCCAGGGTGTAGGGCCAGATAGTGATTACTGGGGACAGACTCTGGGCAGCAGCCAAGCAGATGACTTAGAAGTGGAAGGAAGGAGTACCAACCCCACGGATAGGGTGGGGGTATACATGGAGAAGCAGGCAGCTTGCCTGGGCCACTTGCCTCACAGGTAGTCCGGTGTTCCTGCTCCCATTCAGTCCTCGCTCTTTCCAGCTGTTCAATATTTTGCCTGTACACTCGCTCTACAAACAGAGAGGACCCTTAGGCGGGCCTGATAGCCTGGACCTCCCCTGAAAGTTCCTTCACTCCTGCAGAGACCCACCCAGCACGACCTCCCCCAAGTTCTGGGAGCCCCCTCCCCAAGGGGCCTGGCTAGCTGCTAGTCAGCACACACAGCTGCCCTCTGTCCTTCCAAGGGTGACTCTCCACTTCTCCACTGTGCTCTGAGTGCCAAGGGCTGGTGTAGAACTCTCCACGCAAAAGTTCTGCTCCATTTCCTGTGTCCCATCCCCTCATTTCACAGACAGTAAACTGAGGCTCAAGGAGAGTGCCTCTGCAAATGTACTACAAGCCATCAAGCTAGAGTCGTGGTATGGTCATCTGGCGCTTGCTGAGGGGGCAGCGGGTGTTGGAGAGGTGGCACAGAAGGAAGACTCCAGCCCTGGGGTGGGAGGATGGGAAGCGGATGCTGCCGTCAGGTAGAGGATGGGAGCCAGGTCCCAGGAAGGCTGAGTGGGAGCATTTATCCCTGTGTGTGAGATGAAGGGATAGCACCCTGAGATCTCAGGCTCTGAAACTATGGCTAACACTTCTTAGTGGCTGTGTGACATCTCTCTGCCTCCGTTTCTGCGTGTTAAGAGAAAGTCATCATGCCTGCATGGGATAGCTGAGGGGGAAGCATGCAGCGAGACTAGGGAGAGTCTGTACGCTGAGTGGCACACAGGGGACACATCTCGCAGATGGGGAGCACCAGCTGAGGGAAGAGGAGGGGCCAGGGCCTCATACCTGCCTCTGTGGCGGACTCCTTGCACTGCTTGGCTTTATTCTGGCTCTGAGGAAACAGGAGAGCGACACTGAGTCCCAGCCCAGGAATCCTGGTCCTGAAGCTTGGCAGAAGTGACTGGCACCCCCTCCCCCGGCCACTCCAGGGATATCCAAGGGTGCGTGAGTGAGTTCTACCAGTCACCAGCAGCCTTGCTGTAGAGTGGACCAGGTTGGTCCCATGAAAGGGAAGTAAAAGCAGAAACCAAGACCCGTTTGGGCTTCGCTGCATTGCTGCTCAGAACCTGGGCGCTGGTCAACCTGGATTCAACTCATCCACAACCCCTGCGCTTTCTGGGCTGTGCAACACGGGGCCCTGTCTGGAGGTTGCCTGTGCTGCAGAGGACCTGTGCTTGAGAATAGTTCTGGAGGACGCCCATCACACAGTGCGGACACAGATTTGGAAAAGGGTGAGCAGCTAGCATGCCCTAGGTGCAAATTCAACCCAGGGATGACAGCCCTTCCCTGCCTACCAACTCCACCCTGCTCTGGGTGACATCCATCACCACGCCCACCCCTGGTACCCTACGTACCTTTTCTACTTGCTTCTGGTGGCCGTTGGCACTCACGCGCTCAAAGGCCTGTTCAGCGTCATCTGCATCCCGGCACTTCTGGTCATAGGCCTTCTTGGACTGAAGGTGCAGAGAGGTGTGCTGAGGGGCCGCATGCCCTACTTGGGGCCCCAGGGTAAGGCTCCCTATGCCCAGACTCCCTCCCTGTGGGGGACTTTGGTGGAAAAGGCATCCTTCCCATGAAGGATCATCTTCCGAGCCCTGACACCTTCTGTCCTCTCAGATGTCCCTGCTCTCTGCCACTTCTGGGCTCCCCAGCTGACAGTGTGGGTCACACTCATAGACTATTGTAGAAAGTACAGAAGGACAGTCGTATATACAAGACCCTGAAGGGCTTGGACATCCAGCACAGCCTCCAGCAGGCTGATACACATAATGGACCAAGGTCTGAGGAAGCCTGTTCCAGGGCCCTCCCATTTACCTCCATGGTCTTCTTGTAGAGTGACAGCTTGCTCTTCTGGACACGGTCCATGACAGCCTCATACTGCAGGAGACATGAGGCCCTGAGCTGGGGGCTCTGGCCTCAAGACGCTCCCCTAGGCCAAGAGGATGGGTTGTCCTTGTCCCTGGGACACAACACCCCTCCAAGCTCGTGTGCATGTGTGTCCATGTCCACTCTCTCCTAGAGTTACCTCCTCCAAAACAATACCAGGTAGGTGTAATATTGCACACCTTTAATCCCAGCATTTGGGAGGCTGAGGCAGGGGGATCTCTATGAGTGTGAGGCCAGCCTGGTTCATATAGAAAGCTCCAGACCAGCCAAGGTTATATAGTGAGACCCTGTCTCAAACAAAAACACAATACCTGCACTCAGAATGACAGAAAAGCTTCGGTTGTAGGTATGCCTACTGTTTCCTTACTGTGAACCTCAGCCTGTCTTGGGCTCCAGCCAGAGAGAGCATTCTCGCCCACATATAGATACTCACATAAGTCCTGAGTCCTTCATTCATAAGCCACCACTTGCTCACACAGAGTATACACTGGTATACACATGCATACCTAGCCCATACTTCGTCCCCATCTCCCAACTGCTCACACTGCACACACTCCGGTATTCACCAGTTCATGACCCTGGACTGAACATCCACATATGCATGCACACTCATAGCCATGGCACAGCACAGAACTCACCCCAGGCTTCTTGGGTGGAGTGGAACAGCCAGCATAGGCCGAGAGTCGGGAGAGTTACACCTAGAATGCCTCTGGCTATCGGAGCAGAGCCAGATTGTGCTCTGGGGTCCTGGGGAGGCCCTGGCAAGCCACCAGGTCACAGGAACCTGCCTGTGCACCTGACCAGCCATGGACACCATGTGTCCCTCTCTATTGGGCTCACCACATCACAGCTCTGAGGGCAGGGCCTGACCTCTCTGGGGAAGGAGCTGCTCTGACCACAAAGCTCACAGTAGCCCAGCCAGGTCTCCTCTGTCACGTTAGGTTTTCCACATGCTCTGTGACAAGCTTCCTATCAGAGGGGTCACCTGTTCCAACACTCAAGTCCAGGGAGTTTCTAGAGATAGCTCTGGGGACTCACCTGCTCAGGAAAGCCTGTTAGATGCCTGTAAGCCTGAGACTATCCAGATGGGCAGACAGGGTGTGGTAGTTTAAATGAAACTGGCCCCCATAGTATCTCCTAGGGAGTGTTACTATTAGGAGGTGTGGCTATGTTGGAGTGGGTATGGGCTTGTTGGAGGAAGTGTGTCACTGTGCAGGCGAGCTTTGAGGTTTCCTATGCTCAGGATACCGCCCAGTGCCTCAGTCAACTTCCTGTGGCCTACATATCAAGATGTAGCCAGCCCCACATTTGCCTACACATCACTATGATGATGGACTGAACCTCTAAAACTGTAAGCAAGTCACCCCAATTAAATGTTTTCTTTATAAGAGTTACGGTGGTCATGGTGTCTCTTCACAGCAACAGAAACCCTAACTAAGACACAGGATGTACAATGAACTAAGTTTCTTAATATTTGGGAAGGATCAAGTTCCCAAGGCAAGGGATGCCAGTAAGAGTATCTTACAAGAGAGAAACTAAGGCACAGGAAGGGAAAGGACCTTTCCTGGATCCACAGATGCTGCTTGGCCCCAGCTCTGAAATATAACCTCTTACCCTCCAGGTGGGCCAGGTGCTCTGCCAGAGTCATAGGCTTGGGAGAGGCATCCCCCCCCCACACACACAGGGTACTCAGCCAATCAGAATCACAGGCTTGGGAGTGGAGTTCCCTCCCCAGAGCCTTGCAGCCTCTCTGCGAAGCATCCCCAAGCCTGAGATTACACACTGCCCGTGATGAGGAGTTCACTTCCTTTCAGTGCAGGTGTAGCCACTCCTTGTGAAGCCAGCCACGCTCTGCACATTGATGGTAAGTGCCTTCAGATGCTTAGCTAAGCCTGAAGCCCGTGCTGCACCCCTAAACAGTGTCTTCCCCCTACCCCTGCAGAGTACTGGCCCCCAAGTCTGCCTGTCTTCAGAACCAACACCGCTAATCTAATCCTTATCTTTGGGACTAGCTTCCATTTGGTGCCTCTGGACACCTGATGCTGTCCCTGACCCTCTGCAGTCTATGAAGTAGGATAGTCAAGTCCCCCATCTTTTCCTCTTCCTGGCACATGGCAGCTCTGCAGTAGGCCTCCACAGGGCATTCTGGTTCAGAGCTAAGCCTGTATAAAACCACACGGTTGTGGTTGGCTTCCCAGGGCAACTTGACATCCCTAAGAAGAGAGAGACCCTCAAGTGGGGAATTGCTCCCATTGGATTGACCTGTGGGAATGTCTGTAAGGCATTTTCTTGGCTGTCAATAGGACCCAGTTCACTAGTGGGACTGTCCCTAGGCAGGTGGACCTGAGCTGTGTAAGAAATGTATCTGAACATGGGCCACTAAGCATTGCTTGTGGTCTCTGCCTCAGTTCCTGCCCTAATGGCCCTCAGGGATTGTGACATGGGATGCGTAAACCAAATAAACCTTCCTTCCCAAGTCAGTGTTTTACCGCGGCAACAGGAAAGCAAACCAGAGCACACGCCCTCTAAATTTCATTAAGACATAGTTCCCAACTGGCCCCAGAACGGGGGTGACCTCAGCCACCATCCCCTCCTTGGTCCCCTGCCCTCCCTCCTTTAGCCCCGCATCCCTCCTCACCTTCTTCCGCTGTTCTTTCTGCCTCTCGCGGAACTCCTCCAGGCTCCGCAGCTCCTCACGCAGGGCCAGGGCCAGCTGGATGTGTGCGCTGCCCACGTTCTCTGTCTCTAGGGTGACAGAGTGGCCTCTGCCTGGACCAGTCTGGCACCCTCACACTTCACCTCCCACCCCTGACGTCTTCCACAGAAAGCTCGACCACAGTGCAAGTACACACCCTCGTCGCCCCTGTAAGAACCCCTACAGCCTTGCTGCCCATGAAGGAATGGTTGGAACTTACGCTGCTTCAGGGAGTCAAAGGAGGTCCTCAGGGAACTGCAAAACAAAAGTCTAGGTCAGCAAGTAGGCATGCAAAAACCTGAAGTCCTGCCTGGCCCATTTTTTTGGAGGGAGGGTCCTAAGCCTTATGCACTACCTCTGGATGCAAGGAACCCTTTGTCTATGGTCATCATTAATGTGAACCCAAAACTAGCATTCTAGAAAACAAAGTTTCCTTTGTAAATTACAAAGCAATCAAACTTTTTTTTTCTTTTTAAGATTTATTATGTACGCATGCGGTGTTCTACCTGCAGGCCAGAAGAGGGCGCCAGATCTCATTCTAGATGGTTGTGAGCCACTATGAGGTTACTGGGAATTGAACTTGGACCTCTGGAAGAGCTGCCACTGCTGTTAGCCTCTGAACCATCTCTCCAGCCCCACAATCAAACCTTCTTGCTATGGCAGGAAAGGAAGCCACTCCCTCACTCAGCTCCCTCACCCCTCCATTTGCATGCCTAGAGAAGAGGGCTGGGTCCTCAGGTCCAGGGAGGGCCCAGAGGGGAAGGAAAGGAAGAGGCTGCACAGGGCCTAGGAGCCCGGACAGAGCTCAAGCAGGAAGACGCTACGTGGAGCATGAGGGGTTGGGGTGTGGCACTGGCTGGAGTCCTAACACTCAGGCAGCAGAGGCAGAAGGCCAGGGTTCAAGGCTGTCCTGACCTACACAATAAGCCTCTATCTCAAACACTCAGATCCCCTTTCCCAGAGATCTCCACAGGGCTCAGATTACTTGAACCTTATTTTAAAATGCTTCCGGAGTGTAAGGATGCCCCAATAACAAATGACGAGCGCCTGACCAAAGAGCCCTCACTGCGTGCTGGGGAGCACAGCGCCCTGTATTCTGCCTGGCAGCCTTGGCTTCAGAGCACGGTGGTGCTGAGGGCTGAACTGAGGAGCCTGCACGCCCATCTCAGGACATACAGGAGTCCTGGGGCAGATACAGGAACCCGAAGGGAGAGCCCGAGCTCTCAGGACCTGGGCCTTTGAAGGGCGGAAGATGATCAGATGATAGTGTAGAAACCAGAGCGCTCTCCTGCCGTGGGCTACCACACACAACAGCAGTAGACGCTGGAGCCAAATGACCGGTCTCTGCCACTCATCCGCTGTGTGGTCCCAGGCAAGCCCCCCCCGGCCCTCCCTCTTCACTTCCCTTCTACAGAGAGGGTTAGCTATACAAAACAGGTGTAAGGATGCGGGTCCATTGACAGGTATCATCGAGGCCCAGAGCACAGTAGGAGCTTTTCACGCCTGGCACGCTCACACACATGCAAACTCTGCTGGTTCCGGGGACATCCTCCTGGCACCAACAGGCCCCTGGTCTTCCCCTAACCCGAAACTGCCCCTTCTAAGAGTTTTCTAATGGCCCTTCCCAGAAGCTGCTGCCTTGATCTCAGGTAGGAGGGTGCCTGGCTACTCCAGCTTTGAGTCCTTTCCCAGAGCCCTTCCCCCAGCTAAGTGGCATGAATCAGGCCTGAATGGTGAGGGAAGTCTGTCCCTCTGTGCTCCCAGCTTGGGTCTAGGAATACTAAGTCTCTTAAGGACAACAAAACGAGGGCTTGGTGGTGCAGCTTACCCCAAGGTCCCTAGACACCATCTGCAGCCCCTAGCTAAGGAAGCAAAAATGCCGTGGCTTCCTTCTCACCAGGATGCCTGAGAAACTACTCAGTTGGGTTGACGTGGAAACTGAGGCAGGAGGAAGGGAGGCTCACTAGAATCATAGCCTGCAGCTGAGGAGTCACTTGTTACAGTCTTTCATGCCTCTCTGCAGAGCGCTCTCCTGCCCCCTGGTGGTGAAATTGTCTAATGACACCCACCTCATAACCAATTCCCAGGCTGTCCTTTCACAGAAGCCAATCTGCTGTGCCCTTGGGGTAGAAGGAACGTGTTCCACAGAGGTTTCCTCTTCTCCTTGGACAGTTGAGGAAACTGAGGTCAAGGAGGAGTGGCAACCTGACAGGACCCCTGGGGATCCAGGCCTGAAGGAGGATTATGGGGGCCCATTTACCCGGAATGACAAAGCTACAGAGCAGCCCCAGCAGCCTGGGAGCCATCAGACAGCCAGATGTGCAGGCCTCTGACCACTGACGACTCAGTCTTTACCTTCCGAGGGCTGCTGACAACACTCAGTATGAGGGTGGCTGGCCCACCTCAAACGCACAAGTCTGAATACCCAAAATATTTTGATTATTGCCATTTACAGACAAGGAAACTGAGCCACAAAGGCAAGAAACCACCCCACAGTCACACGGTTGTTAAGAAGCAAAACCACAAGGCCAAGGATTAAAGCAGTGGCTCAGAGGTTAAGAGCACATTCTTCTGCTGCAGAGGACCCAGGTTTGGTTCCCAGCACCCACATCAGGCAGGTCACAGCCCTGTGGCTCCAGCTCCAGGAGACCTGACACCTCTGGCCTCTGTGGACTCCTGCACAGATCCAAAGACAGACTGACACACACATTTTTAACAAATATTAAAAATAAAATGTCAAGGCCAGCCTTCCCACTTTGCAGAGTAAGGTGGGGGGTGTCTGCTGTGGTGACCCCGCTTTCTCTGGAGTGGTAGGGGCTAGAACGCTTCTGCAGAGGAAGGTGGGGGGTGTCTGCAGGGAACACAGGTGGGTCTCTAATAAAAGTTCTTTCCTTGCGGGCCGGAAATGCTGGTCGTTAGGAAGGGCCTGGCTGGTGGCCGTCCTCCGACACCAGTCCCCTCTGCCCACCCAACTCTGCTCCCCTGTGCCTTGTTGTGTGTGTTGTTGTTTGGTTTTCGAGACAGGGTTTCCTCTGTATAGCCTTGGCTGTCCTAGAACTCGCTCCATCCACCAGGTTGGCCTCAAACTCAATGCTGGGATTAAAGGCTGCACCACTATCTCCTGGATAGCAGTGTATACTTCTTAACAAAAGCCTTCCTGTACAGTTGATTCTGTCTGCCTTATCTAAGAGGCAGGAAGACACTGTTCCTTTAGACTTCTATAAGAAGCAAGAAGCAAGACCTACCCAGAGCCACAACCCCCACAACCATTCATTCATCTGCAGCAGGCAGGAGATTGTGTGCCCCCCGTGCCCCATTCACAAGATGCATAGCTGTCAGTTGGTGGCATCTCCCACTCCGCTGATAACCACGGTGACTCATAGCGCACTGAGCATGCCTCATACAGATGTGCAGAGAGCTGCACCAACAGGATTAGGGCCTGGCACCTGTCCCTTCCAGTGAAGGGGAGACTGGTGGTGCCATGTATCCTGCTCTGAGCACAAACAAGTACAAGACCTTGACCTCAGAATGCCTGGTGACAGGCACCACACAGGGTCCGGGTGCTGCTGTCCAGTTCCTGTCCAATTTGCCCCACATCAGAAAGGTCCAAGCCCTGAGTAAAGTCCAGAAGGTTCCTCAGAGGGGCAGTGGGGGCCACCAGCACTCTTACTTGATCTCTGTCTGGCCTCCGGCCTTGCGCGCGATCTGCACCAGCTCCTTCCCGTACCTCTCCTCTGCCTGGGCCCTGCAAGGACAGAGCAACACTGGGTCCCTTCCACCACTCTTGGCTGTCTGTGGCCCCAAAATACATGCAGGACTCACATTCTCCCATCATACTTTGCTGACAAGATGGCTACTGAAAAAGTTGAGCTCTGTCTCCTTCTGAGATAAATGCCAGTTGAATTGGTATGCCCCTTGGATGCGGACCAAGCCTAGGGGCCATAGGGGACAACTGAGAGCTCTGGCTTGTGTGTGTGTGTGTGTGTATGTGTGTGTGCATGTGAGTGTGCATAGGTGCCACAAAGCACCAGTGGAGGTCAAAGAACAACTTCCCACCCTTCCCCCACCCCTTTAATATTTCATGCATGAGTATACTATATTCTACAGAGACACCAGGGTAGTTGCCCCATGTGCTTCTGGGAATTCTGTCCCTGCATCCCCTCTTGCTATAGGAGGGGATTTGAACTCAGGTCCCTTAGGGACCCAAGCTTGTTTAGCAGGTGATTAACCCACCGAGCCATCTCCTCAATTTTTCAGTTTTAGCTCCATGACAGCACCAGGGCTCTAGAGGGTGTAACCACTTCCCTCCCCCATCTTCCCAGAGCCAAGCCCAGCCCTGCTCACCTCTGCCTGAGCAGCTCCTCCACATCCTTGCACATCTTCCTGCCATCCAGCAGCCGCTGCAGCAGTACCTCATATCCCGTGTGGGCCGTGAAGTCCCTGCACTGTGACATAGGACATCCGTGAGAACTCCAGCAGGGCAGCAGGGACCCTGCTGACAACCCCTGAGAACAGCCTCTCGTGCATTGGCGTGAAGAATTGGAGTTACAGACAGTTGTGAGCTGCCACGTGGGTGTTGGGAATTGAACCCAGGTCCTCTGGAAGAGCAGCCAGTGTTCTTAACCACTGAGCCATCTCTCCAGCCCTCTGGATAGGCCCTCTCTGGCCTCCATGTCCTGGTCAAGCACTGATAGGTTAGAGCCCAGCTTCATGCTGGCACACAGCACCACACCATATATGAAGGTTCTGGAACCACAGCTGTCCAGGCAGGGGCTGCTTCAACACAAGATGGATGAAAACGGTCCCGCTGTGGTTCCATGATGACAGCCAGACATCAGATTCTTTCTCATTAAATGTCTGGTGTGGCTCATACCCTTATGATCTCGTGACTTCAGCTAAGTAAGGAAGCCTGCTCAGGAGATAAATCTGGAAGCTGGTCATAGAACACTGGCTGCCTGGCTCGAGTTCTGCTGCACCCCCGGCTGTGAGCTGTCTTCACTAGAGTGAAAGGCCGTCTGGGAATTTAGGAAGCAGCTGACCTTGTGCTTAGGCCTTGCCAAACAGTCCAGGTGACCCCTGGATCACTTGACTGCTGTGTCTCCCTAGTGGCTTCTGAGCATGTCTGAGCCTCCACTGTGGGCAACTAGAGGACAGAGGTGGAGCTCAGGGACCACAACGATGTTCCTGCAACATCCCTCATCTAGGCCTCCCACCCACAGCCCTCCTGGGTCCTGTGTGGTTGTCTACGGGTGGGACGGCAGGGATCCTGAAGGAAAGCAGGGGCATCTGTCCCTCAGACCCTCTGTAAGCCCCACTGACTGAAAGGAACCCCAGCTTCCCAAACCCACCCATAGGGCCTGTCAGAGGTCAGCGAGTCTCTTTAGGGGTCACCCATACTTAACCTGACCCCTTCCCACACCCCAGGCCTCCCCTCAAAATTATGAGTGTGTGGTGGGCATGGGTGGAGTTTAAAAATCAGGAGCTGAGGGTATGGCTTAGGGGTAGGGTGATTGCCTAGAAGCCCGGGGTTACAGCTTCAGCAAGCTTCCTTCAGGGGCATTTGGCATGCTTCAAGATCTGCGGAGAGTCAGATATTGGGGAAGAATACAGGGGGCATAAGTGGGCCCCCGTTCACATCAGTCAAGGTGAAGAGTTGAATCTCTCTGTAAGCTTTCAGCCCCTTATCTCGTATCCCCTTCTCGGAGCAGCTTTGCAGGGCCGGGCTCAGGGTCAGCTGCCCACTGGTCATTGAGTAGCGGATCTAAACCTCAGCCGATTATCTGAGGCCCCAGCCGGAGGCAGTTGCTCCTGCAACCTGTTGCAGGCCCATTTTGGGCAGACATAGTCCTCCCCCCCCCCCAAATCTAGGCCGCACCATCCTGAGCCAGGCTCACATGTTTTGTCTTTGAAGGACAGCCATTTTTTCATGAGCTGAGAGCACAGCTTCCCACTCTTGGCCTCTGCCCTCCCTGGGGGCACCCAGGTCAAAGACTGAAGCAGCATGAGGGGAAAAAGTGTAGACGCCATAGACTCCCCCTTACCCTTCCCTATGGGGGTCACTGAGCTGAAGTTAGTTAGCATTCGGGCCATGAAACCCCAGACCCCAGAACTATGATGCTCTGTCCAATGCCCCTCAGCCCTTTAAGAAACTGAGCCTCAGCCGGGCGGTGGTGGCGCACGCCTTTAATCCCAGCACTCGGGAGGCAGAGGCAGGCGGATCTCTGGGAGTTCGAGGCCAGCCTGGTCTACAAGAGCTAGTTCTGGGACAGGCACCAAAGCTACAGAGAAACCCTGTCTCGAAAAACAAAACAAAACAAAACAAAACAAAACAAGAAACTGAGCCTCAGAGAAGGGAAGAGCCTGCCTGGGGCCATATTACAAACTAGAAACTAGCTTCTCAGGGGTCTGCTTCTCCACTGTGCCTTTAAGGAAGACTTGCGGAAGGGCTAGCAGTCAATGCTCCCCCCCCCCCCGCAGTCCCCCATGATCAGTCCTGACTTTCTAGGGGGCTTTTTCTGTTCTGAGACCCAAAGTAGAAAAGGAAAACCGAGCAGACTCACATGTGCCATGCTGGAGGACATGAGAGGCAGCAGGAGACACTGTCGCCAGGTCTTCAGGAGCTAGTCTCCACTGCGTCTGCCACAGGCTGGAGACTCCCATCCAGCCCCTGTGTGCTATGGTGGCATCAGGCGGAATGAGCCACAGTCACAAGTGACCCAGCTGTTCTAAGGAAGTGCCTAGCCCCTCAGGACGGCCTGCCTTGCCTCCCATCCCTGCCCCCTCATTTCCCTCCTCCTTCACCCCCACACTGCCACCGTCTCAGGGGACAGTCTTTGACTCACTGCTCAGAGTGCTGCGGAGAAGGAAAGGGACTGCAGCAAAGACCCTCTCCATCACAAGTCCACCAGCTATCTAAGGCAGACTCGCCAGGGCTACCCTAGCTTCCTCTCCTCTCCCCCACCGCCTCGCCCACCGCCTCGCCCACCGCCTCCCTCCACCCTTAGCCTGTCAATCAAATCCCGCCTGTGATCTTACCTTAAAGTATGAAAATTGAGCTCTCTCTGGGGCTTGAGAGATGGCTCAGAGGTTAAGAGTACTAACTGCTCTTGGAGAGGACCAAGTTGAGTTCCCAGCACCCACGTCAGGTGGCTCGCCACCTTCTGCAACTTCAGCTCCAGGAAATCTGACTCCCCCTTTTAGCCTGTGCAGACAGCCACATACATGCACATGTGCACACGCGCATAAATAACAAGACAAATCCTTTACAACAGTGAAGCCCTTCCTTGATCCATTACCACCTGCTAGGCGTGTGCCCTGAGAGGACTTTGCAGCTTGGAATGGGGAGCTCCTGCAGCCTTAGGCAGCTCTTCAGGACCTGAGCCATTCCCAGGATGCATCATCCAGAGGCTATGACCTCTGTTTCCAAGACGCCATGGAGGACAGCCTGGCTTTGGTGGTCAGCAGCTAAGGCCCAGTCCTATTTCCCCTCCCCAACCCTTTGTGCCATTCCCTGCTCCGGCTGAGCCTCCATGTCCTCTCTAGTCACTTTTAGTTTTCTTTAGAAATCCCAGTTCTGGGGTCTGTATGACTGAGCTGACATTATCAGTCCTCCGTAAGCTTTGCTCTCCGGAAACCACTGATAAGAGGGTCATCAAAACCATTCACAAACCTGAAGGCCTCTATGGCCTGAAACCACTGTCTTCACAGGTGTCACTTGAATGACCTTTTCCCCTGAGAAGGTAAAGTTCTCAGACAAGCGAATACCCCCACTTTCTAACCAAGAAGAGCTGCAAAGTTTGTGCTCCTGCAGACCGCAGATTACTCTGCTCCCAGTCCCTTTTCCCCATACCTTGGACCGCCCTACTTCCTGGCCCTATAAATAGCCCCAAGCTCTACCCTGGGGCAAGTGGATCTTAGACTTGCCACTTACTCTCCTAGTGGTTTTACGCTTATAAAGGTTTCAGTGACAGGGGTGCTGGGCAGTGGGGAAAACAGCCTGGCAGTAGCGAGCTCTCTGTTTGCTGAGTATCTACCACACACTATTCCAGAACATCCCAGCCTTTGCCCTGCTGAAGATCCATCAAGGGACAGATGGAAATAAAGATGTCCAAAGAGGGTAGGGGACTGCCCAAGGCAACTCCATAGACCCTGGAGTACTCTAGGTTGGCTGGACCCAAGGCAACTCCTAGAACCTGGAGTACTCTAGGTTGGCTGGGCCCAAGGCAACTCTTAGAACCTGGAGTACTCTAGGTTGGCTGGGCCCCAGTGCCATAGCCCCAAAGGCATTCAGTAGACCAAGGCCACTGAACCATTCAGTCCATAGATTATCTCACCTTGAAGCACTAAAACAATTAATTTAAGAAAGATAGCTTTTGGTGTGGCCCAAAGCAAAAACCCTGGTGTGGTGCAGAAGTGTGTATGGAGATAGTTTTTTTGGGTCAGAGAGTTGATTCACCTGTTAAAGTGCTTGCTTTGCAAATATGAGGATCTGAGTTTGAACTCTAGCAACTGCATTAAAAATACTGAGTCTAGTGGCATGCATTTGTAACCCAGCTTTGGGGAGGCAGAGACATCCAGATCCCAGGGACTTGCTGGCCTGTCTAGCCTAGCGGGATTAGTGAGCTCCAGTACCAGAAAGAGGTTGTCTCAATAAATAAGGTGGCAGACTCCTGAGGAAGGACACCTGAGGTAGTACCCGCCCCCCCCACAGACACACTCTCTTATGCATGCACACACAAGCGATAGCTTCAGAGGCTGCATATGGTGATACAATGCCTGTAATCCCAGTACTTGGGAGTCTGGGGTAAGAGAAACATAAGGTCAAGTCCAGCCTGGGCTGTGGAGTGAGATCCTGTTTCAAAAAAGCCAAACCAAACGAAACCAAAACAGTAACAACAACAAACTGCAACAAAAATATCCAATCCCTAGAACCCAAGTCAAAACAAAAGATAGTCTTGGAAAATGATGTGGGATTCCCCTCTGTATGCTGTGAATATCATTGGTTAACAAAAAAAAAACTGCTTTGGACCTATAGCAGGGCAGAACTTAGGTACATGGGGAAAACTAAACTGAATGCTGGGAGAAAGGAGACAGAGTCAGAGAGAAGCCATGTAGCACCCCCTCCCCCAGCCAGACAGCCTCGTGGCAATACACATTAATAGAAATGAGTTAAATTAATATGTAAGAATTAGTCAATAAGAAGCTAGAGCTAATGGGCCAAGCAGTGATTTAAATAATACGGTTTCTGTGTGATTATTTCGGGGCAAAGAGGCTGGGAACAAACAAGCAGCCTCCCTACTACAGAAAATGATTACTCAAGTTGCCTCAACTTCAAAACAAAGCCATATTTTAGGATTTAATCCAGGTGCCCTGGATTCACAGCTGTGCCAGGCTGGTCAGAGCAACATTGCCTAGAGAAAGAGCCACCAGAAAGCATCCAGAAGTC